GTGTTCAACCGTTCAGCATTGAATGTTTTGACCATTTCGTTCATGTATGAATGGGTATATTCTGCCATAAATAGTTTTCCTACATTGGGAATCTCTGCATCCGTGTTAGTACAAAACAACGAAAAATAAAAGAGGATAGGAAGTGTGGTATGTACAAATTTCATTCTTATGTATGGATGGGTATGTTATCTCAATAAATATTGGTTCATTGTCTGTATCCATTTGGATGTGGTTCTTCTTATCTATGCTGCTTTGCTTTACCGTTAATGAATGCATTTGCTAGTGATGTCAGTAGCAGCTACTTAGGATAAGATGAATAACAGTTCCTGCAATTCATTTCAGGTATGAGCCATATCTCTGGGAAAATGAAAGGCAGACATACCTTCGACATGCTGTCCTTTTTGGATTCTTCGTGCAGCTCAATAGGATGTACACTGACACTGTTCAGAAATTGCCAAGCAATTCAGAGTCCAATATCATGAGATGCCTAACTGTTCCTCGTTTTAAATACCTTCCCATCAGGTAATTCTTCTTGGCCCTCTCATAAAAAATTTTACAATTACCTGTTCAGCTGAAGAACGGTCAAGAAATGTGTTAGAAAATGATTATAATTTTCTGAATCTGTCTTGTGATAAATATGCTTCAAAGATTTTGGTTTCGTATTCCTTCTTTAAACTAGAAATTTAAGATGCGCAATCAACTTGAACTGGAGTGTCAAGGCACCTTTTCCTTGTCCTAATGGGCAGAACGTTTCGGGTTTGTGTCCTCAGGAGTCCCATTTATTATTGGGTTAGATGCTCTACGTACTGCATTGTTCTTTCCTAGTTGTTATTGTTGCAAGTCTAAATTATCTAAATAGGGAGGTCAATTACTTCCCCTTATTTAGTCCTTCCATATTCCCTTGAACGTGAGTAATAGATATCTACTAACTCATGAATTACAGTATCTCCTAACTCATGAGTTACAATATCTCCTAACTTAGGGCTAATCCTTCAATAGTTAAATACACGATGATAAAAGAAGACTAATTGGCCTAGCCTGCTGAAGCTTGTCATTTCTCTGTTCTTTCAAAACTCACAAACATAGTGCTGATTTGCCAGTTATCAAATAGAATGTACAGCATATTTCATCCAGGTGGTGCTCCAACCACGGAAGCTTCTTTTGTACCTACAGTCTTTTGTCAATTATAAATGATTGGGAAGCTGTCTTGATGTAGTTTTTGGAGAGGGTTTTCTCTATCCCCTGGCCTTTAAGCTGTTCTTTCTCAAATCTATAAAATATCTTCACGTTTCTCATTAAAAAAAAAAAAAAAAAAAAAGTTTATCGTACAGAATGAACTTGGTGTAATGTAATTCTTTCTTATCCAGTGCCCCAGTCTTGTCATCAAAAGGAGGCATGAAGGCGACTATTTCTACACCTTCAGATGACATCTCCTCGAGAAACTCCTGGAAAGCTTATACAAACGGAGAGCTTTCACAAAAAATAGATTTAAATGATAACTCCAGCTTCGGTGTAGCAGCACCGTTATTTAAATCTTTCATGCAGGTAATGCAGTTGATTACTTTTCTGATAGCCTGTTTAATGTTTTTCTAGTTAACCACTGTTTCAATTATTGCACTCGACATTTTCGGGAAGCTTAAATTTTCTCAAACAACCTAATGAACTGATTTTTATTGCTTTGGGCCCCTATAGTACTGGATCAGTGTTGATATTCATTGGTTTGGCAGTGATGAACCATGAAACGTAGATAACTTTAGAAGCATATGGTTCGTATTTTTCAGATAAAAATTTAGTTCTCTGGTGGCCATGACTTCCACTTCCAAGGTACTTGAGGTTTTATGGTCATCTTTGTCCTTTCTCCCCTCGGCAGTGATAAACCGAGAAACGTTAAAAAAGTTAAAGTCATAGTTTTCATATTTTCAGAGAAATTTATTTAGATCCCTGATGGCTGATCGTCATGACTTCCACATTCTTCTTGCAAAGCGTTTTAGCGTTAGTTATCCTTCAAGGTATCAATTGGGCTTACCAATCTGGCTGACTGTTGTCAAGATGTCAAGTACTTCAATTTAGTAAAAATCCTGTGGATTATGAGTTTCTTGTTTTTTGTGGATGAGTGTTCCGACATTTGTCGTGGTTGGTATTTGTTCGGATTCTCGCTACGGGACCTTCCATTACTGGAGACTACATAGATATTCACCTCTTATGTATTTTTACTTTTTTTTCCCTGTTTACTATTCAAGACGTGTAAGATTTGATCAAATTACTCAATTCATTTGTTTCATTTCACGTATAGTAAAATCGGAATAACATCATGTATTCCCATGGTTTCTAACTGTATCTATTTCACTTGCAGGTTGGGAGCAGATTTGGAGAGAGCACTCTAAAACTAGGGTCCATGTTGACCGATGGTCAAGTTGGCATATTTAAAGATCGATCAGCAGCTGCGATGTCGACGTTTGGTGATATTCTACCCGCACAAGCTGCAGGTCTTCTTTCTTCCTTCACTGCTTCCAGATCAGATCCCTGATGTTCTTCTTCTAGATACATAATTTTGATCAGCACTGGGTTATAATAATAACCACTAAAAAGTTATGAACATTCACAAGCATCAAAGAAGATACATATCAATCCAAGTTTTGAAGGTGAACACCATAATCTGGACGACGAGTTGGAACTCTAGAGCATATAGATCAGTTTTTCTTTCAATGTTACGACACCAAACTGCGATAGACCACCGACAGCGTCACGTTGAATGCAGAACTATACTAGGTAATATGTCGAGCGAGATGCAAATTACATGTACCAAGACTCCACCAATATCTTCCAAGTTAGTTATGTTTTCCCTACGTGCTTTCTTACAAATAAGTGTACCATATGTAGTGTCGATAAGATTGATTTTCGGTCGTTTACGAACAAATATTGCCAAAGATGAATTATATGTGGGATTAGATAAGAGAATAATATCCATAGGAAGGGGGGAGTACTTCAAAAATTGTATGTGCACAAAGGCAATTGTTCGACTCTTACGTTTGGATTCGAAGGTCGACGTTTTCGGACTGTGGCTTCTCCTTTGGTGTTTGGTTTTGTTTGCTTGGATTCATGGCATTTGTATAGGTAACAACCTACTATTTTGCTTTTGACCTCTCTCCTAGAGAAGAATATATGTAGTATTTTGTTTGTTTATCTTCAAGTTTGTAGTCTGTTCTGTGTAAAGATGTGTGATAAGTCAAGCCCTCTCTTAGTAAGGGCTCCCCCTGCACATGTCCTATTGCAAAATGGGGCCACAGGTGCATGCACGCGCTCGTTCTCGCACAAAACGATCATTCTAGCTCTAGCTAATGGTTAATGTGAGTATAGTTCAACCGTTACAGTATCTACTATTTTCTTTTCTTTGTGGTTGGAGTTTTTTCATCTCGATATTTGTTGTTCTAACAATCATAGTTATTTTGATCTTGTAAAAAGATCAACTTTGGTCTCTAAAGTTGATAGAAAGAAACGCTGTGATCCGTCTTGTAAGTGCAGGGTAATCCTAGTTGGATCTACCAATTGGAAGTTGATACTCGTTGTCTTGTATAATGCTATACTAGAATTTGGTCGATCTAGAATGGGTCGATTAAACATTCTATTAGGGAGCCTGGTTTTGACTCTGATATGTGATATTCATTCTCGTTCGGCTCTTGAAAACTGTACTCGGGTTTTTAAACCTCCGGTGAGTGATTATAGCAATTGTAAGTCGATACAAGTTGTCTAGTATATGACGCTATACTAGAACTCGGTCGATCTGAAATGGATCGGTTAAACATTCTATTAGGGAGCTTGGTTTTGACTCTAATATGTGGTATATTCTCGTTTGGCTCTTGGAAACTGTACTCAGATTTTCAAACCTCGTATGAGTGATTATAGATGAGTGTGCCTTGGTTGAATCACTCGAATTTTACTTGAATCACGGTTGTTTGTTCTATCAACTTTATATGTATACTACAGACCTTTTACGTTCTTTATAGAACATAACCCTCCTCTTATATGTCAACTACATAGTATTCATTAATACACAATTAACATTAGATTTTTGTATAGAATGAAAAACGCTAAATTGAAATTAAAATAATCAAAATTGTTATTAAAATTAAATTATTAATTATGAGATTTTAGGACATAAATTTCAAAACAGTAATTTTATTTCAAAATTACCCATAAATTTTTTACAATTTCAATAATACTCTTAATCTTAATATAATAATAAAAAAAATCGTTAATATTTTGTTTTTAATATCATTTAAAAGTACCTTTCAATTTTAAAAATTTCATTAAAAGATTATTTCTTTTTAGTATTATTTTTGAAAATTTATTAACATTTTTTAAAATGTTATTTTAAGAAAAAAAATATTTTTGAAATTATTTTAAAAAGGTGAGATGTTTTAAAAGTATATTATTGAAATTTTTGAAAGATTTTATTCGCTATGTGATGTCGAATAAGGATTGAAACCGAGTTTTGAGACTAAGCAAATTTTAGAGAGTCGGGATATTCACTTTATAGGGTGAACGAATGACTCAAGAATCGACGGGTTCCGAGCGGACTCATGGATCGATTTTGTCTGAATCTTCGTGGAAGAAGAAAAAGCGGTGAAAAAAAACAAATGTTTCTTAAAACATTGTTCTCTTCGTTCATGTATTGGATCTCATCAAAGAAAAATAACATATTTAATAAATGATTGTTTTCTTCAATTTCTTCCGGAAGCAGATGATTATTCATCTGCTTCTCACGTTCCATCCCTATGTTGTAGCAAGGTAGGGCGATTCACTTGAGTAGCTCAATCGCCCCTTAGCCGGTTCACTTAGAACTTCCACCGGTTCTGGAGCCAGCGGGTTATTTAATATTAATTTAATTTAAAATATAATAATAATATTTATTATTGTTGTTATTATTATTATTAGGAATATCGACATAATTTAATTTAATATATTTATAAATAGTCTGCTCCGCCGTTTTCTTCAGAACCTTGAGACAGCCTCCGTCTCCCGCCGTGCCGCCCTTGTTCAACCCAGAGGGGGCGAGGAGAAGGAAGAACATCAGCCATGCTCGCTCCAACTCTCCGCTCAGCTCGTAGGCTCTCCTCTTCCTCTTTCTCCAAATTCCTCAAAGATTCTTTACCATTAGCCTCCTCTCTTGCTGCTGAAATCAGCACCAGAGCTAATGCCTCTGCGTTCTCCTCATGTTCTGCATCTCATTCCTCCTTAAAATCCGCCACCAACGATCATTGTTGCAACAATGGCGAGAGTAAGATGAATGATGAAAATCCATGTAATGGAAACGACATTGTTCCGTCCTCGTTTCATAAGCCATTGCTGAGAAATCGTGCGACATCGAGGCGAGCCCTGCGTGCTCTACAGCCTCATTTGAATAGGATTAAGGCGAAGAGGATTACGACTGATACATTCTCTGCGATTGAGCTGGCGTTGGAATCTGTTGTCAAGGTTTTCACTGTTTCCTCCAGCCCCAACTACTTTCTTCCATGGCAGAACAAGTCCCAGCGGGAAACTATGGGTTCCGGTTTGTGGCTTTTTGGACTTTATTTGTTTCCATTTCGATTGATTGAGTTGTGTTAATTGGCTTCTACACCTTCTGAGTTTTGAAATTTAAGCGATTGTCTTCACCTGTCAGTTCTTGCTGCTATAGTTTAGTTGTTAAAACTTGAAACCATATTCTTTTTGTATTTGACGGAAGCGTGTTATTTGCAGGCATTTTCGTTTGTTGCCTTTGAATATATAAGGTTATTTTGAAAACGGCCTTGTGGATAAGGGGAAGTTCCTTGGGATGGCTGGATAGGAATAATTGCATTTCTAGGGGAGTGTAGAGTTCTAGCTTTGAGATTTGATTCCTGGCTAGGTTCAATATTCATCTTTGGGCTTTGATTACTAAAAAAACGTTGTAATTACCAGAAAAAATTGTACAAGGGAAATGGTTTTCAGGTTTTTTTCATTAATGATTGTAATGAGTTCATGATAAATCTTTTCTACCCTTTTCATTTGACAATTTTTGTGACCTTGACCCAATGGGGAGATTTGAACTTTATTTATTAAAACTGATTTGAGAGCTTTTTCTTCTTATTTTTCCATGTTAAGCTCTTGAAACTCCTTTTGCTTGAATGGATTTCACATGGTTCTTAGATGGATTGATATGCATATGCACATGTTAAGTAGTTTCAATAACACTTATAGTGGAAGTTACTGAGCTGCTAAGTATATTTATCATTTTCATTTGTGCCTTGAAGTTGACCCTTATGAAATCTGGTGGCATACTCTGTTAGCTAAGTTCTTACTTCTGTTTATCATTCTCTGCACTGTTTTATAAAAAAAAATGTAGGATTCATCATCTCTGGAAAAAAGATTCTCACAAACGCTCATGTTGTTGCTGATCATACCTTCGTTCTTGTAAGAAAGCATGGCTCACCAACGAAGTATAGGGCAGAAGTTTTAGCTGTTGGTCATGAATGCGACTTGGCTATTCTGGTTGTCAATAGTGAAGAATTCTGGGAAGACACCAACTGTTTGGAGTTGGGGGATATTCCTATCTTACAAGAAACCGTGGCTGTTGTTGGCTATCCTCAGGGTATAAATTTCTACCCTTGTACCAAGAAATTAAATTTGGTAAAATGGTAATCAGTTTTATAAATTGACATCTCCATCTCTCGAAAATGCTTCTTCTTCAATCTATGCACATTTCTTTCTCTTTGTTGAATGCTGAAATATTAATGGAAATTCACTAAACATCTGCATTTGAAAGTTTTCTGTCTCTACTATCGTAGAGTGTTCTTATAATTCTATTAGTGGTTGTTGCTGTTAGTTGAAGATGCTTAGGTTTCCTACTATTAAATATGTCATAAGGTGTCTTTTGAAATTTGGAATTATGATGGTCAATTCTTAATAATCTCTAACTATGACCACTTTCTCTTAAATTATGGATACAATCAAGGCAATTAAGGCCAAATCATCTCTAATATCATGCACCCCTTTTATGCGATTCACTTCCATGTGAAAAAAAATTATAATGGTGGTTTTGACATCTAAAGACCTCGATCCTCACAATATTTTTTTCATCGCAGGTGGGGATAACATCTCTATAACTAAAGGTGTTGTTTCTAGGATTGAACTTACACAATATGTACATGGTGCATCCCAACTGATGGCTATTCAAATAGATGCCGCTATAAATCCAGGAAATAGTGGTGGGCCAGCAATCATGGGCAATAAAGTTGCTGGAGTAGCTTTCCAAAACCTTTCTGGTGCAGAAAATATTGGGTGAGTGACGAGTTGGAAATTTTACTGGAATTAACGAACTCAGTATGCTTCCATTATGGAACATGATTGCAGGTCGTAAATTTTATCTTTTCTTAAACAATTAATGTTCACTTGTACATACTTTAATTGCTCCTGACCATAAAAGAGTTTTCTTTGCTTAGTTCTTTCATTGTAAATGGATCTTGCAGGTACATAATTCCTGTCCCTGTGATAAGACATTTTATAGCTGGTGTAGAAGAGAGTGGAAAATATGTTGGATTCTGTTCTCTTGGTTTGTCCTGCCAGATTACTGAAAATGTTCAACTTCGAAACCACTTCAAGATGGGTCCTGAAATGACTGGAGTACTTGTGAACAAAATTAATCCCCTTTCAGATGCTTACAATATTCTGAAAAAGGATGATATCATCCTTGCGTTTGACGGTGAGCCTATTGCCAATGATGGAACAGGTATCATATGTTTCCTAATCCAGTACTTCATCCATTTTCTCTTTAAGACATCCATACAATGTTACTATTTTTTTAAGGAAAAAGTTGTTCATATAGACAGCATAAAATATGTAACGATAGGGATCTGCATCTTGCTAAATTTATCACTGATAAGAAAGCATGGGGATGGCAATGGGGTGGGTTCATCTTTCCTTTTGTCCATGTTTCTTATCTTCTAACTCCCTTGTTATATTATCACTTAACTCAAAAGATTGCGTTAGTACTTTAAAGATATATTTAGTCTAGTTCACTATATCCCCTTGGTACTCCATTTCATGTTTAGATTCAAATATTTATTTGACCCATGCAGCCAAAAACCTAAACTATGATATCAGCTAGGAGGAAATAACAATGCAAGAGCTTGAATTCATAATCTCTTACTTTAATACCATTTAAAGTCATTATTGAGCCCAAAAGTGTAAGTGAAGATGTTTGATTATATTTAATTTTTTCAATATATTAGAAGCACATAGCATGAAAAGGAACCGCACACAAAATCTACTTTCACCAAATTTTATCTTTATTTTTTTTTGTTCTCTTAACCTACAATGGGCTTGGGACAATGATAGAATAGAAAGCGAAAAATTCAATATTTCAGAAGATAAAAGTATGCGTGAGCATAGCTGAACTGTTTAAGGCTTTATATCGTTGACAAAGAAATTAGAGGCTTGAACCTTAATCGATGTGTTGAACTCAAAATATTTCAAAAGATAAAATGTCTTACATTTTATTTTGCTCGAGATGTTGTCTGAATTTATTATATTAGTTGTGAAAGTAAGTTGAGGTTGTCTCATTTGGCTAAAATTCTTGTTTTTTATTTTCAATAATTCTTCCTATTGTAATTTACGTACTATGCAGTTTCTTTTCGAAACAGAGAGCGGATAACATTTGACCATTTGGTGTCTATGAAGAAAGCCAATGAAAAATCTGTGATCAAAATTCTGAGGGACGGTCAAGTTTGTGAGCTCAGTATCACCCTCCGTCCTGTATGCTTTCTGCAACTCTCAAATTCACTATAGTTAATGATTTTCATGTATTTTTGAACCAATGCCCTTTCCTCATTATCTCTTCCCCATGACTCAAGCAATCCCATTTTATTATGAAGTTTTAGAATTCTAGTCATTCCAGTCAGTATTGTTATATATTAGAGGTAAAAGGAAAGATGAGAATATCCTTGGAATCTCATTGAACTTCAATCCAAATTGAGCTACAATCCAACACATCCAATCACTTAGATAAACAATAGATTTTATTTGTTTATTTCTTTTGTTACGAAACATAAGGCCCAAGTCCTTCAAATCAGCTACACGTCCAATATCTTATAGGTAAGTTACTGAATGTTAGTCCAAAGTCCATATCCCACAACAAACTTTGGTTTACTATGCTTTAAAACTGATCATTTTCAGATTTTCAAGTGAAAAAACCTTTTTTCTTCCATTTACTATTCGAACCAATCATCAGTTTGAATAAATTTCTAGCATTTATAATAAGTTCTATGTTTTGCAGTTGCAACCCTTGGTCCCAGTTCATCAGTTTGATAAGCTTCCTAGTTACTACATTTTTGCTGGTCTTGTCTTCATTCCACTTATCCAGCCTTACCTTCATGAGTATGGAGAAGATTGGTATAATACTTCACCTCGTCGCTTGTGTGAGAGGGCACTAAGGGAACTACCAAAGAAGCCTGGTGAACAACTTGTCATCCTTTCACAGGTTTGCTGACATTTTTCTGAGGCATGCATGATAACTAATTTACACGCTGGGTTTACATTGATTTTTATATGAAAATAAGATGTCCTGCACTAGATCCTTGCATTTAGTTTCCTATTTGGGTGACTAATGATTAACATTAAGATTTCTGATTCAATTTTGTAACTGCTGCTTATTCTTTTTCAGGTGTTGATGGATGATATTAACGCAGGGTATGAGCGTCTTGCAGAGTTGCAGGTTAGACGCTCGTGCTCATAAATATGCAGGATACATAATTATTTTCACCTAAGCATTCATGTACATTATTGACATTGACAAGAAATAGAAACCATTTTTGCTTTACAAACAAAGATAAAACAGAAATTAGTGGTCCGTGTTCTTCGGTTGGTAATAAAAGACCTTTAGGAAATTTTTGCATTCAGTCTGTACACCCACTACTATATTGTGCGATCCCACGTTGGTTTGGGAGAAAAATGAAACACCATTTATTAAGGGTGTGAAAACCTCTCCCTAGCAAACGCATTTTAAAAATATTGAGGGAAAGCCCGAAAGGAAAAGCCTACCGAGGACAATATCTGCTAGCAGTGGGCTTGGGCCGTTACATATATACTTTCTTCTACAATTGAATCTTTACTAATGCTGCCTGCTACAAATTACACCAAGTTGAAAGCTCCAATCTGCTAAATGTTCTTTCGTTTTTCCAAGCAGGTTAAAAAGGTTAACGGAGTTGAAGTTGAAAATCTGAAACACTTGTGCCAACTTGTGGACAATAGTAAAGATAGCGTAAGGTTTGATTTGGATGATGATAGGGTGATTGTGCTAAACTATGAGATGGCTAAAGTTGGAACTTCAAGGATTCTGAAGCGCCACCGAATACCATCAGCAATGTCTCACGATCTCATGAACAATGTAAGCATCTCCGACTCTGAATTGACCTCCTCATAATGAGTTCATTACAAAGTTGAGAATCATTCACCCCTTAATAATTCATTGATTTTACTGAATGGCCAACTTTTCTAAGAAGCTGAGTTATGTTGGCAAAAGATTCCTAGGCGAGAAACCAAATATGGGGCCAAATAGATTCTTTCTCTTCCATTTTTTTATGCTTCACTCCCCAGATTTTTGTAGTTTTTGATTTCGGGTTTAGGGTTTAAACTTCCATGTTACCCTCCAGGTATCGTAGTTTTTGATTCTTGAGAATGACAGTTACAATTATAATTAGTTCATCCTTGGGTGAGAATTCTTTGAGATATTGAAAATTTGTTGTAAACTATGAGGATTTGTTGTTCAACTGAGATTACTTTACTTTATCATTTTCTTATACTGATTTTATTATTATTATTAATTTGTATTTATTTTTTAGTCACTTAGCTTAGAAAGGCCAACAATTAGAAGTGGGTTCAGACTTAAGGGGTGTACATGACTCGGGTTGGGTTGATTTGAGGAATATTTTTGATCCAACCCAAAAGTTCCTGTTCGGGTTGGATTGGTAACACAGAACAAACTAACAACCAATCTACTTCATAAATTCAAATTCAACAAACCTTTTAAATTATCAAATGATTCTTAGGACTAAACTTGTAATTTAATTTAAGAAAATTATCTACACGAAATTTCTTATTTTGAACTCGAGTGAAGTGTTTTAGGAGACATTTATAATAGAAGAAAAGACAAGCCTTTTGTATCAGAAGGCAACTCTCACCATATAGAATTGAAAACGTTCTAGTAGACATTCGAGGTGTGATTGAGTTGAATTCGATATATGACATGATAAAACGTTCTTTTAGTCAAATTAAATAAAACACTCTGTCAATATACTTCTAAAAATTTCATTAAAAAAACGTGTTTTTCTCCAAAAGTCATCTCAAACTCGGGCTCGATCCGAGAACAAATGCACATAAAAACTGAGAAAAAGATAAATAGTGATATTATTGAGCAAAATGAGATGTAAATAGTTGTGTGTAGGTTGCAGACCACAAGAGAGGAGGGTGGCTATACTTTACAACATATAACTTGAAATATAAGCATACAAAGTAGTATTCATATATCTTGGTTGGACATGGTGTGGCTGCTAATCTGAGTGATGCATATTATGAAAAATGAATCAGCATCGTTGGTATTCAAGCAATAATAATAATGCCTGCTGGATACAAAGAAGAAAATTGTACCAATTAAGCAACTTCTACTAATCAGCTTACGGTCGTCTACCTTCCCTACTCCGAACGAGATCGGCGTAGCAGCTTCGTATTCGATAAGGTAATCAAATTATTGACTGTACTTTGGAGTGAACATCCATCCTATAATTACAAACCAAGAGGATAAGTGCCTTTGGCTAGCAAATAAAGGCAAATGAACCTCCATAAAAATAGTTAAAAAAGGGGTTAAACATTATAATTTCTCATCAAAGAACGATATGATGTCAGGCCCCACATCAGTTCGAGAGGGGAACAAAACATTTTTTATAAGGGTGTGGACACCTCTCCCTAACAGACACGTTTTAAAAAACCTTCCGAAGAAGTCCAAAAGAAAAAAAACTCAAAGATGATAATATCTGCTAGCTGGGACTTGAGCTATTATATATAACCTCAAGTTTTCTTTTTTCATTCGTTCTAACAAAAGGGTATAGTATATAGTACGTATAATTACAAATTTTTTCTTAACAAGATTCATAGTTTTTATTGAGTAACGAGAAGGAATAAGAATGATCGAGAAGACAATATGAATCACAAAATTAGTTTAACCAGCAGACTCGAGTGTAAAAGAGTCGAGATTTTCGTATAAAAAATTATAAAGGAAACGAACCTTTTTTTTGTTTAATCCCTTTGGATGATTAAATCTTTTCATCATGTGAGATCATGTTGTGGGCCTGGTCATTGTAGATAAGCCGCGTCCAGTTGGAACAACACCTTGAAAATCTTGATCTGATCCTTCCTCTTCAAAAGAAACTGCAACCACAACATGAAATAACACTTGAAGCTAAGGTTGGCACCAGCGGAGACAGCCCAGTTTAACATTAATTAACCTATTGTAGAATACAAACCTCTCTACAAACTTAAGTTGATGTTCATATGAAACTAAGGATTAATTTGTAATCTACACAGACAATGTCCTATCAATTAATCACGAAGATGAAACACTGTAATACGAAACTCCTCACCGATACTTTCTTCCCCAGCTTGAGCTCCAGCTACACCAATACACGTATACAAAGAATCGGCGTCCACTTTCAACTGATCATAAGCAATGTATACGTCATCAATGGTGGCAGCTTCATACAACGACGTAAGATCTTTGATGCATGATAGGTCCTGCCCCACAGTCAAAAGAGAAGAGACAGGTGAGACATCCAAAAATGAAGACAGTGACAACATAATGTGAGATTCTTGTATGTGATCTTTTTCTGTTTCCAAGGTAAAAGCATAGGAGCAAATATAGTTGAAGTACAAGCACATTAGTTCTACCTTCCGTGGAACAGAAGATGCTTGCAGATGAGCCAATAGGCCAAGCCAATAAGCATTGGACTTTATTTCAGCTTCATGTCTCATAAGAAGAGTACGTTTTGCCTACAGTTGCAGAAACATTATTTCAACCATTGGCTAAGAATGAAATGGTCTACAAACTCCAAGTACAGAACTGCACGAGAAAGAATTTGTACCCATATATGCTATATATATATATATTTTTTTGATAAAAGACAATTTCATTGATGACTGAAATTTACAAAAACGATGTATAATTCATGGTGTTTACAAAATACCTTCCCAATTAGCAATGAGGGAGGTATAACTATAGGAAGTAAAAATATTAGACAGTTCACACCAAGATATAGCTTGGTAAACAACATTGTCGAAAAGTTTTGTGTAGGTACGTGTTTTTTCTGTACCTGTGTGTGCTATAGTACATATGTAAAAAGAAGAGTTTTATGTAACGAGCGATAAACTATTTTTAGTTTTAAATGGAAAATCGGTTTTATGAATAATATCAAATGGGAACTAATGAAGTTTTATTAACCAGTACTAGCTGAGCTGGTCATTTAACACTTTACCCTGTCCAATTCTCTTTGGCTAATTTTGTTGCCATGTAAACCTCTCAGAACGTTTTTGCATGCATCAACAGCTTTGTACACCTGAAAAGAGTTCTATGAGTGAAGGATAAAAGAAACAAGAACTTAACAAGGATATTTATGAAAATTAAGTTCAAACCTTGGCTGGAGTTGATGTTACAGATATAACATACCATCCGAGCTTAAGCCTATCGAACAGGCTCAATTCGAAGGATACGTCATATGTCAATCCAAGAGAATCCCGGACATTTGTGAAAAGCCTGGAATTTATAATCTCAGCCAAAAGCCCCATAGTAATCCCGAAAAAGAGTGGATGACTACGAAGTTTTCTCTGCAAACCCTTCTCAATATCATTATCAGATTCGTCACTCTCTGGTGTTAAAGAAAAAGAATCCATCATAAGTTATATCAGAAAATCATGGTGTGACACGAGTCAATATATACTTTTTGGCAGAAAACTCACCGTCTGTTCTTGAAATCTGACTAACTGATTCTAACAACTCTACACCATCAACTGTAACGCCCCAACGGTTGGGCGCAGGACCTGAAATATAAGCGCATGCTCTTTCATCTGTATCCTTTAAAAATACCTGTTTAAATATGGTAATGAGTAACTTGCTATCAGAAACATAACAGAGATCATAATGATCTGAACACAATATCTTATATTGATCTCAGAAAGCATGCAACTGCAAAATAAAATGAAAAATCAACGACATCTGAACCTTTAATCTTTTTAGTGTAGATCAGAAAATATCCTTTCTAAGAAACAAATGAGTGGAATAATTTCACTTGAAAATGAATTTTGCACATAAAGTAAGAATATTACTCAATATAGGGAGAGGGGGAAAATCTTCCAAAAATAAACCGAGCAGTTTTAACAAATCAAACGTTCGTCTCACCTGCTGAAATTGTAACTCAGATGGAGATGGTCGAAACACAATGGGAACAGAGGCAGGTGCTGTCTCACAAGGTGTTTTTGCTGTGACTGTACCAAGATAATCTAGAATACAAGACTCAATTTCTTCCTCCGAAAAGTCGCCAACAACACTTACCTAAAAAACGGGAAGATTCCATGATAATATATCAGGAATTATTGTTCAAACATGTAACTTCTCAAAAAATAACAGATTGCCATTTTGTTGGTTTAAGAACGTAAAACGCTTATATTTTTGGATTATTTTTGCTTCTTTGTACTCTATAACGTTATACTTGTTTTAATTTCCCTTTATTAATATTAGGACATTCATTATCGTTCTCTAGTACGAATACTTCTTAATATCATTCTTATTTTCTATCAAAAGGAAAAAGAGCAGACCTCCATGTTATTGCCTACAAATTGATTCATCACTGCATCCTTCACGGTTTGCAATGTTAAATTCTGCAGTGATTTTGGGGAAGGCTCAACAAACCGCTCATCTCCATTCAGCATAGCTAACATGAGTTTGTGAGCAGTAGATCGTTCCAGGCTTTTAGGAATAGACCAGTAATATGACATATATAACTGCTTTGCTCTATCAAATGCATCCTCCAGCCAGACGCTATGCTGCAAATAAGTAATTGCCATGACTTCAAGTAGTAAAACGTACAAATATTAATTCAGAGAAACAATTTGAATTAAACCTTGAATGATTGTAGTGAAATATCAAGTTTTTACGGTTTCTAAGTAAAATTCAATCTAGATGAACCTTCATCCTTGTTGGTTAATTTAAAGAGAAATAGGAGACTTCCTAAAAAAAAGGTTAATTTACAGAGGACTTCTTGTCTATTATTGAAGGTTGAGATAAAAACATTTGAATAAGAATAAATAAAAAGATATTGGCAACAATTAAAAGTTGCAGAGCAGTTCGCTCTATGAACTATTTAATTCATACTAAAAAATTGTGTTCTAGCAATATTCATATTCATGCTCTAACTATTAATCAGACAGAGTTATATATATATATATTTTTTTTTCCTTCTTTATTTATTTATTTATATTATGAGAAACACAACTGTGATTTGTAGGGAAAAACAAACTAGAAAATTTGAAACCAAAACCTGCCATTTGCACATACCTCAAGAACCATGTGGAGTAGTTGGAAAGCTGCACGCATGCCATTGTCTCTCAAGGTGAAACGAAATTCCATAGCAATGAACTCTTCGGTCGACTCCAGCGAACAGTTGATTAAGTGATTAACACAAAAAAGTTCTACCTACAACATATTGAACAAACAAAGCCTTCAATAGATGATGATTATCCCGTT